CAAACCAGTCTGGGATTCTGTGATTCTAATTCCCCACCTGCCAGTGACCCCATGAAACTACCAAACAACGGCCCACAGGACTGAGCTAAGGAACACGCAGGCTGGGAAGCAGCTGACAGAGAAGTGCACAGAAGTGCCCTGCAGCACACAGTCCAGAGCTGATGCTGGAAAACTGGCTCGTGGATGCACCACAGGTTTCCTGTGTGACACTGGACAGGTGACTTCACCCAGGCCTTAGTCTTTCTCACTGCACACAGAAGGTGTCACGTTTAACTCTCTCAAGGACTGATGTCTAAGGCACTTGGGAGATCCCTGGATATGGAGAAAAACCATGAAAAGAACAAATCCTGTGGAGGGAACACCAACCAGAGAGAAGAGCCAACACACACACGTGCTCCCACCCAGCGACTCCACACGGCACACGAGGCCCATGGTGTTTATAACACATGTAGTACAGACAAGGTGATCTTTCTACTGATAGAGACAGAGAGGAGAAAGATACCAGAGATAAGTCTATCAGGGTATTTCTGAACAGTGTTCCCAAAGGATCTCAGGATGAACTTTCTTCCACTAGGAAGGATCAATTGTTTGCTCTCAGAAAGGCCACCCAAATACTGGGCAATACAGCTTTTAGGCCAGAAAAACCACAGATGGGACGGGCTGTGATTTGCAAAGCCACCTGATTTCAGCAGCTCTGTTTGTTGCAAGTTTGCACGCTCCTTCTTACCCTGATTCAGGGATCTTAAGTCTTTCTTGCCCTAGGCTGACCAGTGATGCAGAGGGACAAGAAATAACAGAGCCATTCTCTTCAGTGCCTTGTAGCCGTTGGTGGCTTCCAAGCAGTCCTCTGCCCAAGGATGGGAAGAAAAAGAGGAGATGAAAGCCATTCTCTCCCATATCCATCTACCTCCCCACAAGAGCTTTGGTCTTTTTCACTGGGATAAATTTCAGCACCAAGTCTGACAGCCCCAGCAGGAGCCCTCAGCCACACAGTGGCTCTACACATTGTCACTCCGTCGTCTGGATGTAAACGGGGACAGCCAGCATGGCGCAGGGGCCGTCCGAGGCAGTCTGCAGTTCTGCCAGGGACAGGTTGGATGCAATACTGTTGGGCTGCCCAGGAACAACAAGGTCCGAGTCAGCAGCTCCTGACCCACCAACCACGATGGACAGGACTGCGTCTGACTCCTGGAATGGTTCTTTGTTAGGGCCACCACCACCTTCAGGGGGGTTTTCCCCAGCAGCACCGTCCTTCAGCTCTGCCAGCCCCAGCTGGTTGGGGAGGGAAAGGCCTGCCTTGCGTCCCCGTGCCACCCTCTTCTTCTGGGGCTTCCTGAACTGCAGGTCTTTGTCCTTGGGTGAGCCCAGCCGGCACTTGTGGTCCTTCATGTACTTGTGGCGGGTGAAGCCTTTGCTGCAGGTGGGGCAGCGGTATTTGTAGTTGCCGGTGTGCGAACGCTGATGCTCTATCATGTGGGCTCGTCGGCTGAAGGACTTGTTACAGTACTGGCACTTGTGGATCTTCATTCCTGCACAGAGCATCAGAGGAGAGAGAGCTCAGTTAGAGACCCGGCATCCTAATGCAGATCTTTAGGAGAATCTGCACCGCACCAAGGGAGGGCACGACAGCTTCACCTCCTCTTCCAAGGAGATGTTTCCCTGATAAAAGGGAGGAGATATTGTGCCAGGCAAATCTGCAGTCAGAAAAGGGTGAGTGGCTGCACCTTTAATGTCTGTGTTTAAGAAGGGCTAAAACAATAGCTCTTGCCTCAAATAAGAGGATTAAAATATCAGCAGAAAAAAAAAATGTCAGGTAATTGCGATGAAAATGCAAAACAATCTTAAACTCTGATTTTTTTCAAGTATGTTTGGTAAATAAATAAAAAAAAAATCACTTTTTTTTCCTCCCAAGTATGGGAATATAGAGTCTAAAATAAACCACCCGTTGCACTGTCAGCACAGTCCCATCTGATCACACTCTGCAGGGCTTTGGACATGACAGGCACGAGAAAAGACTTTCAGTTCCACCCCAAGAGACAAAAGTCAGAATGTTCCCTAGGGCATGAGAATAAATTACTTGTCTTCATTAGGAGTGGAAGCCAATTTTGGAACATAGAGAGTAAAGGGAATCAAATCCCAAGAAATCTCCTTTTGAATGTGAGATGATATTGAGGAGGAGTGGACAGACTCTGGATACATCTGATAGCAAACACGAGTAACCCAGCTCTGCTTCTGCATCCTGCCAGCAGGCCCTGCCTACAGGTTTATATTGCCTCAGAAAACATGCAAGCTCACTTAAACAGGCCTGCAGCAACAGAGAGAGAAAAAATCTAAAGGTAATACATTATATTAAGAATTTAAGTCCATATATGGGAAACTGCATCACACGAGGTGGAAAATTCTCCCACAGGAAACTACACAGGAGCTGTGTTTGCTGACACTGCAGGGAAAGCACCTGTAAGAAACACCTTGTGCTTCTGGGGGTATAAAGCAGAACCACTTTCACTGTTTGCTATCTCCTGTTTCTCAGGCTTTACTCCTTCTGTAACACATTGCTGCAGCACCACAGCAAATCCCAGCCACTCCACTCCCAAGCCCTGGCAGCACGGCAGAGCTGCACTTACCCGAATGGGACAGGATGTGAGCCTTCAGCTTGTCAGGCCTGTTGAACTCTTTATTGCAGCCTGTGTGGCTTCTGCAATGACAACAAATGCTGGTAAGCAGCATGAATCAACTGAGGATCGATGTATAAACAGACCCTGGACCATAAGATCCACAATCCTTCTCCTTAGCAGCACCCAGATGGGTCCCCAGGTGTAGTCTCAGCAAGAGCTTCACTGCTTCAGCCCTTCTGGAGAGGGGCAAGAAATAAAGAGGCTGCTACAGGGACACGTGGCTTCTGCTAGAATACATGTGATCTGTGTCTTGCTATGGATGCTCCTAAAAGCAGCAGGTTCAAGATCCCAGCTGGAGACAGAAATACTTTGGAAGGAGCTACAAGGTGGTTGGAGCAGCAAGAAGCCAGTCAGCCTTGGCTATCTCAGAAGGCCCATGGCTGTGCCATGGATTTGGGAATGGACCTTATAAACCTGGGTTTCCCTGGCTCCTCATGGCAATCGCAGAGACCCCAGCATTCAGGCAACCCTGTGCTCTGGTTAAATAATACTCCTCCTCTTCCCCAGTGCTCCCCAGGTGCAACCCCCCCAAGCCTCCCATGAAGGCAGACATTATTT